TCTTAGAGTTGCTCTGAAGAGCAAATGAGATAAAATATTGCGGGCACTTAAAATACCACCTGAGTCATGATAAATACTGTTTCAAAAAGATGCTAATTATTCTTCTCATAATGCTTTTGTGTATATGGAAGCATAGGAACTAGTGGAAGATAACCTATGGAAATTACTATGAAAAATAATAAGTCTATTTATGGATAAGTTTGTTTCAGTTTCCAAATTGGTAGCCACAAAGTTTCTGAGTTCTTTCAACCTTCATCTACTCTTACCCCACATCTCTTCCTCATGAAGGAGCAAAATTAGATTTTCTACAACTAAAGTGGCATTTCTTAAGATTTACATAATGTAAAATTCACCATCTTAACCATTTCAAAGTGTATTGTTCAGCGGTTTTCAGTATATTCACACAATTGTGCAACAATCACCATTATCTGTTCCATAAAGTTTTCATCACTCCAAAAGGTAAGTCTTAGCCATCACTGTCCATTTCCCCTTCGCCCCAGCCCCTGGCATTCAGAAATCTACCTTTTATTTCTATAGATTTGCCTATTCTGGACATTTTGCATAAATGGGATCACACAGTATGTGCTCTTTTGTGTCTGGCTTCAACTTAGCATAATGTTTTGAAGGTTTATGTTGTAGCATGTACATTCCTTTTATGGTCAATTATTTCATTATATGGATATACCACATTTTGTTGATCGATGGACATTGGATTGTTTCCATGTTTTGTCTCTTATGAGTGATGCTGCTGTGAACATCTGTGTGCAAATTTTTGTGTGAACATATGTTTTCTGTTCTGTTGAGTATATGTCTAGGAATGGAACTGTGAAGTCGTATGGTGACTGTTTAACATTTTGAAGAGCTGCCAGGCTGTTTCCCACAGCAGCCACACCGTTTTACATTTCCACCAGCAATGAATGAGGGTTCCAGTTCCTCCACCATTGCCGTATATTTTTGAGTCAAAAATAGCTTTCCAGCACTTGGCTCAGCATCTTACATCTGAAGCTGAATTACAGAGATAGACAGGTTTCATTGTAGAGTCCTGTCCAGCATTCTGGCAAAGGCAGTGCTTCATTCTAGAATGAAATGGCCATTTACAAAGTACCAAGTTGCAAAGGGCTCAGTGGGAGACTCCTTGGCCTTTGACGAATTTTTGCCTAAGGGAGCCTGCTGTGGTGGGTAGCTTCAGGGCAGTTGACGCCAGCCCCAGTCCATCACTCGGGGCTGGCTGCCTTGTACGGCTTCAACCAATGCTAATTTCAGTCCTTTGGGGGCCCCACACGAGCTATTTTAGAGGTAAATTTGGCTCCTGAGATTGTTAAAACCTGTATGTCTCTAAAGAGTAAGTAAAAAGGAATTCAAGGAAATGTAAAACACGCTTTAATATCTCATACCTGACTCTACTGAGGAATGTTAAAAAAGGAATTTCCCATTTGGGACTTTCAGCTGAAGCCCCATTTCTCTTGCTCTTTTATTACATATTTTCTTCATTTGTAATTTATATAGGTTTCTATTTGCAATTCAAATGGAATCTTTAATGAGGATATGGAGTAAAACGATGTGATAATGAAAACAATGTGCATTTCAAGTATAAGTGCCATATATTCTTGAAAAAACTTTTAGTTTCTGCAAGGTCATCTTTGTGTTTCTTCTGCTTTATCAGCCTTAATGGTAATCTTTAAATGTTTCCAAACATGGGAAGTCCCAATAGTGGTCTTTTTTCTTTTCTTTTCTTAATAGTTGAATTGTCTCCTTCGAAAATGGGATTTTTTAATTGTAACCTGCCACATTCCCTACCACAGAAATGGGAACTTACTAAATAGGAAGCAATTTCAGCACTTAAATGTGCTGATGTGATGTTTCTTAATCACTTTAATGAGTTTCATACCACTAGAAATGGAATAGAAGTTTCAATGGAAATATAATTAAATAGAAAAGTCATTTCCTATACTTGTAATTTCCCCCTGACCATTTCTTTATTCACCTCCATAGAAAGGGTGCCCTACAGGTGTATAGCAATATTATTATACAGACTTATTTGCATAATTCACTTAGGTTATTAGAACTGAAAACAATATAAAACATAATACATTTTATTACAAATCAAGTGTAGCAAGGCAATGTAAAACTTTAAAACGATATTTCTTTTTTAAAGTCTGATTAATATTTACTAGTTTTACCTAATTTTTCTTGAATTGTCAATTTCTTGCCTAAAGATAGAATTTTCTTTTAGCAATGCCTTTTCAATGTTGCCTGCTTAAAATAATGCTCGGGGGAAGCAATAACCTGAATCAATAAAAACGGCAAAACATCTTTGGAAATAGTTGATTCTCCTGTTTGAGATCGGGAGTAAACAAACTGTTTAGCTGGGAGCTTATCAAGCCATGCTAAAAGTGTCAGCTGACACAAAGTAAGACGCGTTAGATTGGGGTTATCATACCATGGGGTTTCCCTAAGACAAAACTCTATACTATACTATTTGCTGAGAAATAGTACGAAAGTTTTACCATTCTTGTACTGTGATGCTAAAAGAAAAGGCCATGTAAATGTGTTTAATTTGCTATTCGTTTAATTCATAAATTTAATGTAAGGAGAATCCAACAGACATTTTGGAAAGGGTGGCATTTTTCTTGACCTTAAGTGGGAAACTTGAGGTTTTTTACATTTCAACATAAAAGTAAAGGGGCGTGCTATCCATTTAGTTAATACAGTCCAACTTAAACTGCATTTTTTTTAATTTTTAATTTTGAGATGAAGTCTCACTCTGTCGCCTAGGCTGGAGTGCAATAGCACAATCTTGGCTCACTGCAACCTCCGCCTCCTGGGTTCAAATGATTCTCCTGTCTCAGCCTCCCAACTTATGGGGACCACAGGCATGTTGCCACCATGCCTGGCTAATTTTTTATTTTTTTTGTAGAGACAGGGGTCTCACTATGTTGCTCAGGCTGGCCTCGAACTCCTGAGCTCAAGCAATCCTCCCACCTCGGCCTCTCAGAGTACTGGGATTACAGGTGTGAACCACCATTCCCGGCCCTTACGCTGCATTTTAGGGTAAATATTTTTAGGTTTGTCGTTAGGCAAGTGGTTTGAAGCATCATCAGTCTCAAACCATAGCTGCTCTTTCCTTATATTTTTAGATATCAAGGCCTTTAAGCAAGATTCAGATGAAGGGCCTGCTTTACCAGCTCACCTATGAATATGGAGGCACCAGCTTACTTTCTGCAGCACATGTATCTCAGGGGGTTGTCCCTTCCCACAGTGTATAGATTGGTATTGAGACAACATTCTCTCTCCAGGGTGCAGTGATGACCCACATATGTGAGACAGTCATTTACTGTCACCTTTATTTTGTACTTTCTGTGGTTTCTAAAAAACATACAGAGTAGCTCTCTTGGTGACTACTGGGCTGATAAAGCTGAAAGATCAGTAATGTTGAACAGAAGTCCAGGGTCTGGGTCTGTATTTTGCTAAGGAACCCTCATCTGAGCTTCATTCCCTGTAAAATTAAGCTCTAAAACCTCTCCTAAATGAGATGGCTAAATGTCAAAGCATTTTGTAAACTGTAAATCAATTCAAATGTGAGTTAGTATTTTTTTTTCAAATGAACATGAGGAAGTATCTTTCTGTATTTAGTTTTAATATTCTTTGCCAGGTATTTATTGAAATACCTTCTTTCATTGTACAATAGTGTATTTAAAAAGTGCTTTGCATGTCTTGTTTATTATGAACTACTAATTTTTTACTAATTAACAATTAACTATTTGCAGTGGCACTATTTGCTATTCTGAATGTCACATTT